TGAATCAAAATGTAATGTGAGTGTTTGCTTTTGTTGCCAAGGCACTGTCAATCAAACGTGATCAATCCACACCCACAAAGTCTTTGTAAAGTAGATTAGCTCAGTTTTAAAGTGACAAACTATACATAAATAATACCTGAATATGTTGTTTCCAATACTTTAAAAACATGCACAAATCATTTACAGATTCTAATTACTTAAAATACTTTTTTCTCTAATTGTAAATGGGATAGGCTACTTTCCGGTTTTGGACAACAAGTTAGACGAGATAATCAATTTCAAGCCAAACCTTGGATTCTAGGAACGTACGATGGGTATTTTTCCATATGTTATTATATTTTAGAGACCAAACTTTTTTCAGGGAGGATTTGTCAAAGGATCTCAGGCGCCATCACATATGAGCTTTAATTTATTTGAGTGGGGTATAACAATAATATGAATGACTTATGTATGCCCACACAAGCGTGTAGGCATATCAACACAACCCTCACACACACAGACACACACACACACACACACACACGTACACCAACCATCCGCCTGTGGTGTGGAGACTGAGGCTGGCCGAAGATTGCTGAGTCATCGTTGCAGCCACACCAGTACTGCTGTTTCTTCTCATCTGCTCCACTGGAGTCGATGCGTCACACTGGGAGCCTTTTTTTTGTTCCTAAAACGTGGCCCTAATCTGCAGAGAGTTTTCCACAGCCGTGCACCACATGAAAGGCACGGGCCGCTTTCATTTAGCGTCCCTTAACCCCAATAAGCAGGGCCGCCCAATGTGCGACAGTCACAAAGTCAACATAAAGAAGAAAACCCACAACGCTCCCTTGCATACTCAATAAAAAAACGTCTCAGTTGGGTTTATTGAAACTGAAATGTGTCCTAATTTGAACTATGGTCAAAATCGGACAAAGGGAGACTTTAAACAGAGTTGAATTGACCGTTTTCCACTAATCTCACATTCTCAAAGGTATTTTTTTCACATTTATGGAATGATTAGATCTCAAAATATTGCTGGAAGTTGGTGGATGTCATGATGTCTTGGTAAATGACCTTTAAAAGCCAAACAATATTCAAGTTCAGTCAAGGCCATTAGACCCGATTTAATCCTGCTTCTTTTTTTTGATTAACGTCACTACTAATCTAAATTATCTACATTTGTTTGGAACAAAGAGGACGTTTTACAAAGTCATGTTTGATGTAGTTGTCAGAAAATAAAAAATAAATAAATCGTTTTGTCGAAAATCTGGACGCAGTATCAATGTCTTCCGCTGACACGCTATGGGAATAAAACACTGCCAAGTAACTGCAATTCTCTTTCACAAATGTAAGCCCCGGCCATTCATCATTACTGAAGTCTGTGCCCTTTACAAAGAAACACAAACTTGTCCAGCTGCAATTCTAGCCTCACTCATGTTCGGCCCAACAGCAGATCAACATAAGGTCACACCTAGACTAAAAGGCAGCTTTGTCCAATCAGCAAAAAAACCCTGTTGCCTTTAGTTTGACCCACATGCCTGGGTTAAATCCACCTATTTGAAGCCAGCTCTTTTGTCCAGAAGGGAGAACGTGAGGCATGTTGGATGGCTGGATGCTAGTTGTTTAAAATGCATTCAAACTGGAGGATTCCAGTCAAAATACGGCAGTGGCCTTTGATAAAGACAATACAGCGATTCATTAAACAGAGGAATGTGCTTTGGCTCTGTCTACAGATACAATCCTTGACGGCACAATACAAGTGTCAAACCCTTCAGATAGTGCAATGCAAGTAAGGGTATCAAGTGTATTGTCGAAACAAGACATCAGCTTGTTCTGGTAGACTTGAAGCAGAGGAAAGGTGAAACTGCTTTTTTATCCGGATCATAACCTATGCTGGAAGGCGTGTGACAAGATAATTCCACACATTGCTTTTTGTAATATATGAAATGAAAACACATTCTAGTGAAGCTGGGGGATATGGATGTAATCAATACAACAGGATGGTTTTCCATTCATTATTAAGGCTGCAACTAAGGGCTTATTGTCAATATCATTTCATGCAAGTTCTACAAATGTCCATTCTATGTCACTGTAAGGCAAAGCAAGTTTATTTATATAAAACGGACAAGTCAAATCAAGCAATCTGATTGGTTCTTAGCCGTGATATACTGAGCGTATACCACGGGTAGAATTGTAAGTTACTTTTCAGAACAAGTCAGTATCCCTCCGCGTCTGAGAAAAACAGTATACCGTTGGGCTGAAAAGCAAACTGCAGGCAGTGGTTCGCGTCGGGCCGAACCACGCCCCTTAGCTGTGATATAATGAGCATATACCACGGCCTGTCGTGAGCTATTGCTTAAATATAGCACCTTTCAACACAAGGTAATTCAAAGTGCTTTACAAAAAATTAAATACATTAAGAAAATGGCATTTAAAATCAGTCATTAAAAAGAAAAGTTAATAAAATAAACATTAAAAGAAGAAATACATGGATAAAAGTTAGGTAAAGGCGACATCTTAAAATGCCATTGTATCTAACACATGGTCCATAAATCCAACAATATTCACTTGGCTATCACCAGAGATTGAGAAAACTAAAATATATTTCCATTTGAGAAGCTGGAACCATCCCATGTTCGTGTGCATTGTGGCATTACAAAGGAAAGACAAATTGTTGATTGAAAGTTCTAAAACCCAGCGCTGGGCAGAAATACACACACGTGCCCGATTGAAGGCCTTGAACCAAACCATGGTTAATAGGTATACGTGTATATCTGCATGTGTTAGACAGTGTCCAAGGCAACCTATTTGCACCTTTTGAGGTAAAACATAGCTTTAAAAGCTCTGGTTGTCTGTGGTTGCAGACATACAGATGTCAAAGATCAGGTTGCACAGAGTGGACGTAAAACCCGTGTCTGAACCAGTTTCAATGTATTAGCACAAGCCGGGTGATTACTATCAACAAACACACTTGTTTGTCTTTGACTCGGCTAAAGAATTTGACGGGGGCCTCTTGCATTCACACTAGCTAACATTTAAAATCACAGCTGGAAGGAAGTTGGGTGGAGGGTTAAAAGCCCCCCCCAAATCTGTGTTAAACAAGGCCCTTAACTCAATGAAACTTGTATAACTTTTATTGAGTAAAGTACAGGCCAGAATATGCTCAATCGAAACGAGGTATGCACCGCTCTGTGAATGTTTATCCCTGCTGTAAATGAAAGGTCATAAAGTGCGAATGATAATTAAGTTTTACACCCTTCATTTTCTTTTATTCTCTAAATGTCACTGCCAGATACAGCCGATAATCTTCCTGAAAGCAGATAGCATTTGGAACAGTAGAAAAGTCGTGTGGATTATTTGTGTACAACGGTGCTTTTACACCTCAGATGGCGACAAGGCATCTGCCGAAGAGCTTATTTGGCTCGTAAACAAAACAGGCTGCGGTGATAAGCGTGGTGTCTTCTTTGTTGCCCGCAGAGCTGGAGGTTTTGCCAGAAAACTTGTTTCATGATGCGATGATGAGCAAATGTGACTGTCAAAAGGCCCCGGACACTAAGCGTGACACAGATCAGAGCTGAAGTGAGAACCAGCTGGGGTTCAGTGTCTGGTTCTGTCCCTACGATAACCTGCCTTTCATCTGAGAGGGTCAAACTGAAGTCAGAGACATCGGTAGAAGCCACTTGATTACAAGCAGATGACAAGAGGAGCGCTTACTTCCTGGGAACAAATGTGTTTGAGAAGGAAAAAAAAGGTTGCTTTGTTGAGCTATTAAAAATTATTTACCTTGCTGAACGTTTGACCTACTTCCCCCCCCCTGTGTGAGATGTTGAACTGGTGGAATAAGCACCGCCAGATGGCCAGACAAGAAGTGTGAGTGTGTGTGTTCAGTGCTGCATTCCAGCCTGCATGACCTATACACTGCAGACAAGTCGTGGAGGGAAACCACATACACACACACTCACGTGCAGCTCTGTTCAAAGCCTCTGCCTACAATAACAGTTCATCTTGATCATGTTACATGCCCGGGCACGGTGCACGAAGTCCACAAGTTGACTGTACTTCAGTTTCACATGTGCACTTCATCTCTCTTCAGTGCAGTGAACCGGGTCCCTCAGTGAGTCAGACGCAGTTCAAAGAGTCTTTCGCTCATGAGTCTCCGGCCACCTGAGCCTCGGCTGCAACTTTAAAAATATCTGACCTTTCTCGGATCGGAAGCCAAGCGGAGAGACAGTCCCACCCAGCATGCCACACCGGGGGGGAAAACAAACAAAACCGTGACATCAAATAAGTGGAAGGGCTGCTGAGGCGGAGCTATGCAATGAGTGTGAGCAGTCAAAATAAAGGGGGGGGGCGAAGGGTGTGCATCAGGGTCAGGAGGTGACAGGGTGCATCAGGGTCAGGAGGTGGAGAGGGAAGGGAGGGGGAGGGGTTTGCTTTGCATTTCTAGGCAAACCGGATTCCTAGATTTCAAACACTACCTGGAACCTGGTGTTTTGGGAACACATTGGAACGCCCTTATTGTAGATTAATAAGCCTGTGCAGCAATTATGTGAAATTGAAAGCCAATATTATGCAGGTTTTAATTCCTAACAAAGGAAACGGCAGGTGATTTCCAGCAGGGATGCAAAAATAAATTGCTTTTATTAGCAATTCAACAGATAATTGTTGTTATTGTTTCAATCAATCATTCACGTAATGAGAAGAAGGAATGAAAAAAAAGGTGGTAGCGTCTGCAAAATGCTTGTTTTGTCCAACCAGCAGTTTATAAAAAACACAGATATTCAGTTAATTATGATATAAAACTGAAAATTAATAATCCTCTTTTCGGCACTTTCACCTGACATCTGCCTCAAAGAACAGATTACCAAATTGTTGTCTATTAATTCTCCGTTAATCGACTCTTCATCAGATCATGGATTAGTTGCTCCCCTGTCTCAAAGTGTGCTAATCAGTGAAATCCTCTGGCAGTAACTGATAGTGAGGAGCAAGAAATAAAGAAGATGTCAGTATGTGTGTACTCCTTACCTCTTGAAAGCCTCCGTGGGGTTCCTCTCACACTCCCCGGGCTGCAGAGTGCTCTGCACAGCTGGGTCGCGCACCTTCTCCTCGAACCCCGGCAGCACCCCGCTGCGGCAGATCTGAGCCACCAGACCTCGGATGAACCCGCCGACGCACAGCGTGTCCGAGTCGTCCGCCCGGCAGAAGTGGAAGGCCAGAGTCTGCTGCTGCATCCCCCGCTGGGTGCCCTGCGTGGACGAGGGCCACAACAGCTCCGTGCCGAGTGCCGTTTTCCCGCTTCCCGGGCCCCCCACCAGCAACACCCCCCAGGAGCTACCTGACTTTGTGGATCCTGCCGTCAGGGTGCTGGGGTTGGACGCCCCCACGCCGGGCGTCACCGGGGGCTGCTTGCATGGAGTGCTGCTGGTCACTCCAATTAGGTTGTTGGTTTTCTCCTGGAGGCAATGCTGGATCTTATGGAAGACCCACTCCCGGCAGTAAAAGCGTTTCCCCTGCAGCAAACTGGTTTGGGCCATTTTGATCTAGTGCTGCTTTTCCTCCTAATCCTCGTCTTCATAGGGGTCCCTTCATTCTGACCCTCACATGTTCAACTCCAGCAGAGGTCGGGAGTAAATTCGAACATCCATTTTGCTGACTGGAAAAGTGCCTCTCGGAAAGCAGGTCGCAGTCTACCCGTCCTCGGTGTTGATGTTAACAACAAGCCAGAGAGAACTTGGGTTTAAAGGAAGCTGCTGCAGATGGCAGGGAAAGCAGCCGAGCTATACTGACAGAATATCTAGGTCAAAATAAAAAAAGGAAATCAAAATTGAGGCTCAAACCATAGATTTTCCACCAACTTTTTCCACAGCTTTCCCACTGGTTGAACTGAGTGCTCCTTGTTATTATGAGTGTGTTGCTTTAGCATGGCGCTGGGCATGGCAGGGCACCCGGCTCTTGAGTGCATCCACTGGCAAACTCGAGCCACCGCCGTTTGATACAATTAGCCATGGGAGCTGCTGATATATTTCCGCTGATGCATTTCAGATGCTACCGAGGGTGACCAAAGCGTGTTTCCATTACATTAACATGGAGGGGACTGCCAGCGCCAAGTCAATCTCTCCAATAACATACTAAAGCCTGGCTCTTTCCCTGGAAAACAGAGACAGAAAGGATGGCTAAATTAGGTCACATAATAAAACACATGCTAATGCACCATTAACCATCCAACTCAAAGACATTGTTGAGATATAAGAGAACATTAGAGCCAAGAATGAACAATCACTAATATTAAAAGATATATTAGCTTGTCCTATATAAGCTGCAACAGTTTGCACATCCTACAGAGGGTAAGCTCTATTCATGCAGCTACAATAAAAAGGTGGGTACTGGAAGAACATTTTAAATAAAAAAGGGAATACATGTAAAATACAACAAGATCAAATGCAAACAGAACGTAAAAGTAAATACGGTAGAGTGGAACAATACATTGTGCATTGTCTAGTAATGACAATAAAATATGTATTAAGGATGATGTGGATAAATACACACCAATGAAATCTGCACATTTATTAGCTTGTCCTATATAAACTGCAACAGTTTGCACATCCTACAAAGAAGGGTTAACTCTATTCCTGCAGCTACAAATAAAAAGGTGGGTGCTGCAAGTTATTGTTTGTTGCTCTCATCCTCCACATCACTGCCTGCAACTCAATTCTTGGCAGGGGTTCGTCCAGTTTCTCTAGTCTATCCACTGATCCCCCCTTCCTTCCTATGTGGCTTTAAATCCCAAACAGTCCACATCCGTCCTGAACTGTAGAAAAAAATAAAAGGGGGGGGGGGGGGTTCCAAACCAGAGGACCCCCTTTCCTTTCCTGCACTTACAGGTCGTTTACATGGGTGGAAGTGAAAGGTAATCCACCTAAAAAGGGTTTAATTGCTTTTAAAGTGGCAGGAATCTTAGTTTAATCCAGAGTAATGTAATATATGACAGTCTTGGATTAGGAATGGTGTTAATTGCAATGATAATGCATCTGGAAGTAGGGCATGGCATACAATCTAAGCTTGATTTCTGATGCTTTTTTGGCTAAATGCATCTTTTTGATGAAACCCTTCTCTATTCTGGAGCAGATGCAAATATTACCCAGTGTCTCCAGTGAAGAAAGCACACACAGACACACACATACAGTGTTGCTGCTACTTTGTACCGCTGCCAAATAACAAGGTTTCACACAAGCTGCGATACATTGCCACCTTTCTGTTTTTCTAAGGCGCTCCCCACCTCCAACAATAAAATACATCAAGGGTCAGCTGTGTGGGGATGCGAAAGGCGACACATTATCAATCAGAGCAGGCGACATTAATTCACCCGGGGACTGAGAAGGCAGCACAAGTCTTTTGTATGGCCGCACAAACCTCACCCATTTCAGATAGAATTTACACCTATGGGGGCTTTTTAAAAAACCGTCCACAGTAGCCATCAGTTGCATGCTTTGAGGGGGAAAACCCTAACCTGTCGTGTAACTGCAGCCAAACAAAACTGCTCCTTAAACAACTTCAATTTAAGCCAATTGTGGAGCGTTTCACTGTTTTCGCTACAGTTTCAAATATCTCCCAAACGGTTTTCCTCTCACCTCTTCCCTGGTCCTCCTGCTGTTTTGTGGGGGTTGCTGTTTCCGTAGTCGACACCCTTTATGTCCACGTTGAAAGCGAAGTGTTCAGGTACATTATTAGTCCGTTTGCTCCGGTGCAATTCAAAGCCCAAATGTGTGCATTTGTGCGACGGTCATGTCTTTCTTTGAACGTCTCTTTTCTGTCGGTGTGTGCTCCTCCTGCTGCCCGACACAGCTCCACAGTGAGCCGACTGACTCTCCGCCTACAAACACTTCTGCACTGCATGCAGAGCACACACACAGCGAGCCGCGCGGTGTCTTCTGGGACATGGAGTGCTAACCTCTCCTCCATACTAATATCCAATATTTTTTTAATGAGACGTTAGTGTAAAATGCACATTAGCTACACTGTTGTTTTGGCAATGGAAATGTGAAGATCCAGGCTACTCCAATAATGCAACAGACAGTATACTTAAGACATACAAATAAATAAAATTGTAAAAAATACAAATAGAAATGGAGAATGGAAAAAAACATGTCAGTCCAGTATGGTTTTGCCTTGGGATTATCATGTATTTTAAAAATACTTTTAATGAATAAATATAGAAATGGTGCCCCCATAAAGCACATGAAGTGGTATTGCCATCTCCTGTGGTATGACATTTGCTATTGTAACATTTAAAGGCAAAATGATGGTGTTTTCCAGGTGTTTTTTAACTACATCCTATAATAAAAACACAAAAAAAGCAATAGTACTTTAGTTTTGTTTTTCAACAGATAAAAGATAAATGGAAAAATAATTGGTTTTCAATGATAAACCATCTTCTAAATACATGTAAGCGGGACTTCTTGAAAAACGGCATTGATACTGAGTGGATTATTTTGAAGAAATTAAGTAAATTGATTGAGCTGACTGAAATACTTTATCAGTCTCTCTCTCATAAACATTCCCCTCTGTTCTCTGTCCTTGTGCCTCTTCCATCTCAAAGAACATCTCAAATCCTGTGGAAAATAATTTATTTAAAGCAGCATCAAAACAACTGGTACTTCCTTTTAAATAAGACATACATCTGAAGAACAAAGTAAGGACGAAATCCACAATCTGATTAGTTAGACTTATGCATCACGGTGCTGGCTCATGGCTCAAAACAACTTGGATATGTTACACACAGAGACTGCCAGCATTAAGAGATTAGATGCAATTGATGAGAATATATTTTTTAATAAAGCTTTATCTCATGCTTCTCAATCCGTGGTAGTTGTGGGCAGACAGTTGGCGATGGTTCTTTGATGTTACACTTAAATATGTCTTTTGGACTATCTTTGGGCATTAGATGCAATAGTTCCTTCTTTAAAAACATGTTGTAACAGTTGTTGTCTCCCTGTTTTCATTCTGCCCAAGTCCTTTCATTTCAGGAGATCCCATGAATTTGCAACATCATCCATGGTTGTGACAAATGGGTTCAAACAGCACCAGAGATTTATGCAACATTTGGCAGCTGAGCAAGAATCTGCGTAATGATATCTTGTACACTGCTTAAGGAAAGTTATAATTTAAGCAATACCACGAGGATAATTTACTATTAATGTACCTACTTGTATCATTCCAGCTTAATTATTCATACTTGGGTGTTTATGTTTATGGATCATCTGGAAATTGAATAAAGTCATTTGAAACATTTCCAGGTTTTTCTCACAGTCCAGCCGTTACCTGTGATGTGTTTCAGACCTCACAGCTGAAACACCAGATGTTGTCATTGTTAGTGAGCAGCAGGCAGATGTGTGTTTGGGAATTATGTTTGAGAATAATTAGAGGAAGCGTCCCACTATTTTCCAGCCTTAATGTGAATGTGCTTTTATTTAGCAATGTCCCAAGATTGGTGCTCTTTTATTCGGAGATTCACTAAAGGCTTGGGGTTAATTAAATATGAACACTTTTCACTTTGACTTTCACTGCGGCTTGCTGTATTTCTGCTGCAGCTGCAGAAGAAAATGTGATATGTTGCATAGCCCACATTTAAAGTGCAAGTGAGCAAGTTGTAAAGCAAAAAAGTGAGATTTAAAAAAAAAATTCCTTCTCCCTTCCCCCCAGCAGGGATGCACATGGGGCTTACAGGTTGATGTGTTTTGATCTAGCTGGAGGCTGCTGATCTTACAACTTATTTATCACTCACTGAGGAAGGGCTTCAGGGACTTTTTCTTTGAGGAGTAGCTGCAGTAGGTTCTAATAACTGACAGTGATACCTGCGGAGTCAGTTTTCATTTCCAATCTATGTTGCCGCCATCCGTGTTTGGGGTTTGGCTTTAACCCGGGTAAACAGTTATGGTTAGGGGTCACAGATAGGATTGGTTTGGGTTAGGGCTAAGATTTGTTTTGGTTTAATGTAAGGGTATGCGCAAATTGTTTTGGAAACAGAATGTGACATAACCTCTGACAGAGGTCAACACATAAAAGCTAGTAGCATTGTTGCACGTGTTATGCTTTATTTGGACATTCAAAGCATTTAAGGTAAGACTTTGGTTAAGGTTAGGGTTGACAGTGACCCTCACAACTTACCAAAAAAACAGTTGTGTAACCGTTGAGTATGCTGACGTATTATTTTACATTGATCAAGTGAGAAGAATGACTGTGATTTACACAACTTACACTGCCAGTAGGAGAGGGAGGGTTTGCAAAAGGAAAATATGTGTAGGAGTATTGTAACAGTCTCAGTGTAGTATGATGATAATGCAGAATCCAAATGTTCAAAGCCTGTGAGAGTTTGTTATAGTGACCATCGGCTCCAATCCCCGACCAGGCCGTTATGGTCCTATTTCCCCCTGGTTATAATAGTATATTATGTTGGACATATGGTGGACATTCCTGAACATGGGGAACAGCAGCACCTGAATGCATTCATCTGGCTCTAATATAGAGAACATCAGTATCAGTATATGCTGTACTGGTTCTCATGTGTTTCTAAAACTTAAAAAAATTGCACCGACACCCGTCTGCTCTCACATTCCCGCATTATGTTTTGCGGGAACCAATCTTTATTTTGTTCACACTCTATCCAAGCTGCAAACTTGGGGCGGGACACAATAAATAAAGCTTTGCCAGTTTGGGTCCTTATCACAACTGATCAAGATGGCCAAAAATATTCTCTGCTCAGAGGGCCTTGCAAATTTTGGAAGAGAGAGAACCAATTTATGATGATGTAGACTGGAAGAGGAAGGGGTTTCAGAATGTGAGGATCACATTTATGAGAATTCTGAGTTCGACAGTGACTTTGAAGAAGAGGATGAGATTGAGCATCAGCTAGTTACAAAAAAAAGACGAGCCACAGGACCAGCCGCTCAGCGGGCAAAAAAACAAGTAGCACTTTAATTCATTAATGTGATCTAACAAATGTAAAAGGGCAAATATTAACCATGTATCCTGTTTATATTGCTTGTAATTGTGATGAAGTATCTGTTGAGTATTTTAACATAAAATAGTTTGATTGTGTTGAATTGAAGCCCAAAAAGGCAGCGGGTCCACCAGACCCACGAACACTGGCTGAGTAACACAAATATGAACACAACACATTCATTACTGAGCTCCACAAACATATAAGAATCCCCTATTGTAATATTGTAGGAAAATGATAATGATCCCCATTGTTAGGTTTATCGAAAAGGAAAATAAGCACTCCGCCGAGATAATAGGAGTGTTGGAAACAACAGTAGGAGGTCCACTGATTGTGGAAAACGAAAACACTCTCCCTCTACTTACCAGCTATTAATTCAGTCACATATCAAGCTTGATTCCCCGCAGAGGCTTTCAAACAGTGAATATCACATCAAGGACTCACGTAATTCAGCGTTAGGTGAACTTCCTTCCCTGAAAACTTGAAGACGTTGCTGTTCATTGAGTTTCCGATTCTGTCTGATGCCTAACCTGTTGTTACCCCCTGTGGATGCAGAGAGGAGATAAACAAATCCATATATTGAACCGCCCTCCAGAGTTATCACAGCCACGGATCGACCGCCCATGATACTTCATCTCTTCCTTAATAAATAAGCAACGAAACGACGGGAAGAAGATAATCGGTCCGGGGCTTTTATTTCCCCTCTTTCTTTATGTAATGTATAGGGCTGCAGTGAATCATTATTAGCATAATTGATTTGTCAATAAATGGGTGGTCCCTTAATTTGCATTGCATGCTATCATTAGGTGGAAATGTACTTTTGTTTATGACCAAATACTTGCAATACAAATGACATATACATAAGTGTCAGTTATACTTTTGTCTGGTGCTAATTAGCAATAGTAATGCTAACATGCTAAGGCTAAGATGGTCTTAAAAGAAGAAAATAAATGCTAAACGTCAACATGCTAGCATTGTCGTTGTGAGCATGTTAGCCAAGCCCCCAGGAAGTGCGCCGGACTCTGATACAAATATTCGTTGTGTCCAAACAATACTACAATAGTACTACAATACAAGTACAATACTACAATACTACAATTCTAGTACTACAATTTCCGTATCAGTCCGTGACGTCACTGGGGCCAGAAAGACTTTTCCCCATTGACTAACATTGGGAAAGAGACGTCTGTAAATCAGCGGATACTTATTTTTAACTAAATAAACTACCCACTATGAACTATTTTATAGCCCTTATTAGAATAATTCGGTCCTTAAAGTTGGAAAAAATGCACTAAAAGCCGAATCTAGATTTAATTTTCTGTCTCCATGCATTCTACTGAGCCGAGAGTGGGAGCTCGGGGGGCGGGGCTTAAGGGGCGCATGCTCTGTGAGCGCACATACGGGTTCTTCTGCTCTGACAGCTAGGCATGATGGGTAATCTGTGACGTTTCGCTCTCTCAAAAGTTCAAGACAAAATGGCCCAACTTTTGGAGAAGGGTCTAGCTGCGGCCGCGGACACTACACTACATGACACTACACGACACTACACGACACGCCCACCTGACACGACACTACGGTGGCTGAGAGGCACTACCGTTAAAAGCGAATTGACGACACTACACGACAGGAGGAGAGGTTTTGGGGTTTAGGTTTGGGAGGGAGGAAGGAAGATTAGGAATAGGTAAAAAGGTAGGGAGCGGTTAGGGTTAGGATGGGGGGAAGGGAAGGGTTAGATTGAAGGGAGGGAAGAGAACTGCTACCCGGGAAACAGGATGCAACGCTCATCTGTGAAGCTCCGCCCACGTTGAGCTCCCGCCAACATCGAACTCATTGAAGCACTGCGCACTGCAGTGAGGGGCTTCTC